CAGCTGATCTTGGATGGGGAGATTCTACTGGATTGTCCAGTACAGTCACAGGGGCCCTGAAATGGGGAAGAGGGAGACAGGAGGGTCACAAGCAGACAGACGGTGGCTGGAGGAGGACTGGACTGGCCACTGCTGGCTTGGATGATGGGGAAAGGAGAGGAGCCGTGAGCCGAGGCCCCGGCACCCAGGGGAACGGGCTCTCCTCAGAACATCTACTCATGAGTGGGGGCCTGCCAACACCTCGATTTTAGCCCGGAAGACCTATTTTCAATTTCTGACACTGAGAACTGTAAAGTAACAGATGTACTCAATAGAAAAATGTTTTCTAAATGACCAAAAAGAAACCAAATGTACGCTGTTTTAAGCCACTAATTTGTGGCGACGTGTCACAGCAGGCACAGGAAATGAGCACAGTGCGTGTGGTCTGCCGTGCCTGACGGGCCCCGACTGACTCAGAGGCCTCGGTACATCAGTGTCGGGGCCCCGCCAGTCCTGACACCCCGGGCACGGGTCTAAGAGTGAGAACTCACGATCCCCCTTCCCTGGGCTGCGCCGGGTTCCCTCCCAGAGCTGGTGCTCCAAGATGCCAGATTTCATGCCTGTTCGACTGTGTCCAAGGAGGTTCAGCAAAGTCACAGAGCTCGCAGGTCCATGGTAGGTGTCCCTTGGCCTGACCACAGACATTGACTCTGGGGTGGCCCTCAGGTCTGGTTACACTCTCTCCCTCAGAGGGAGCGACATGGGTGTGGCCCTCACACCACCCATCTGTCCATAGACCTCAGGGAGAACCAGGCCTCCCGGGTCACCCACCGCCTCTGTCCTTCCCTCCCAGTGAGACCCTGTACCAGGTCTACTCAGACTCTCTGTGGGCTGAATTGTAGCCCCCACAATTTGTATGTTGAAGTCCAAGTTCCTTGTGCCCCAGAACACGACCTTATTTGAGAAGAGTTTCTGCAGATACAGTCAGCTAAGACAAGATGAGGTCAGAACGGAGCAGGGCGGGCTCCTAGCCCAGCAGGACTGCTGCCCTCTTACAAAAGGGGAATTTAGAGGCAGACTCGCTCATCGCGGGGAACATCACACGAAGATGGAGGCAGAGGTTCAGGGCAGGCTTCTATAAGCCAAGGGACACCAAAACTGCTGGCAAATCCCCAGAAGCTAAGTGAGGGGCACAGAACAGAAGGCAGGAGGACAGGATGAGGAACTCTCCCAGAATGCAGCGTGGAGTCACGAGAGTGGAGCCATCAGACAGAAGCTAGGAAACGTGGGAGGCAGATTGCAAGGCTCCATCGTCCACGCAGAGATCAAAAGAAACGGGAGGAAAGCAATATTCAAAGAGACAATACACAAAGACGCTTCAGATTAAAAGCACATAATGGGTCCCTAGGAGGAAGAACAAGAAAATGCACAAATAGATCACATCGTAGCGAAACTGTGGGATATTGCAGATGAATGGAAATGGGCTTCTGCCGCCAGGTGGAATGTAGTAAGTGGCAGCATCCCGAATGCCCCTACAACAACGAAGCGAACCCAGGTGATTTACAAACATCGTGTTTTAAAGACAGTGGGGAAATGTGAGTGTAAGAAGAACTAGGTGAATGGGATTCCTGAAGCAGAAACCTTTCCAAAAAAAAAGAGTGCTCTCCCCTGATGGGAGATTACATCACACACAACCTCTGTGACTCTTCTACACGCAAGAGCCAGCGTACAGCGAAACATTACTAGACATAAAAGGAAATACGAAAATGGGACTAATAATCAAAAGAAAAAATGTAATAAAAGCAGACAAAAATGACTCAGAATTTGCTGTTAACTGGCAAGGACCTGAAATTAAATATACTGTGGAGAAAAGATGGACAAACTAGATGAAAAAAATGAAAAAATTCTACCAAAATGGTATCCATAAAAATAGAATCAAATGGACATTCTAAAGCTGGAAAGTATAATATATAAAACTCAGAACTGACTGGCTAGCTTTCACAGCTGACTGGACACGGCAAAAGACGGGATTAGGGAACGCGAAAACAAGTCCACGGGAAAACACCCAAGCTAAAGCACAGAGAGAAATAAGAACGGGAACAAATCAATGGGTGCAAAAGGTGCATCAGACAGAAACAGAAGTATAACTGGCAGCTCAGAGGGAAAGGAGAAAGAAATGGGCAAGCGCAATACTGAAAGGACAGGGGTTACGTAGGGTCTAGAACTGACAGAAGACACCAACCCACAGCTTCAGGAGGCTCAGTAACACCCGAGAAGAACACATCTTTAAAACCCTAGCTACATAATGACCACCTTCTGAAAAACAAAGGGTTTTTTTAAATTCTAAGAGCATAGCAAATGGCACATGACTCCCAAAGAAGGAACAGCAAAATGTAGAGCTGACTGCAGGAAAAACTATGGGGGCCAGAAGGCAGTGGAACGCCGTCTCTGAAGGAACGAACGACGAGCATGGTTAGTGAACAATTCTGTGTTGAAAATTCCATTTTCAACAAAAGTAACTTTTCAAAAATGAAGATTACATAAAGACATCTTCAGGAAGACAAAACTAAAACGCTTCACAAGCAGACTCACACTTCCAGAAAGACTGAAAGAAGTCCTTCAGGCTGAAGGGAAGTGGTCTCATAAAAAACAGACATTTCCAGGAAGACCACTACAGAGTGTGAGTCTGCGGGTAACTACAAAAGAGTAACGACCATGTATGGGCTGAGTCGTGCCCCCACATTTACAGGTTGAAGCCCTAATGCGGTATTCGGAAAGACGGCCCTTAAGGGGAAATTAAGGTTAAATGAGGTAATAGGGTGGGTCCTAACTCTATAGGACTAGTGTCCCGAGAAGAAGAGGAAGAGACGCCAGACAACTGAGCCTGCCCCGCAGTGTCCCCTCACACAAGGGGGGCCTGTGACAGCACAGCGCGAAGGCGGCGAGCTGCAAGCCAGAAAGCGGGGTCTCGCCCAGAATCGTCCTTGAGCTTGGACCGCCAGCCTCCAGAACTTTAGGAAGATAAGTGCCTGTTGTTAAGACACCCGGGCTGTGGTGCCTTGGCATTCCAGCCAAAGCAGGCTCGTACAATGACCATTCAAAGTAACAGCTTAAAAATACAGCTTCTGGGGTTTGCAATACATGGACAAGAGAAACACGTGAGGGCAAGTCAGCAGCAGGGCGGACGGAGCCGACCTCTTGTGCTTTTCTTGGTTTCTTTGTGAAGGAGTAAAGTCATAATTTTTAATGTAGACTATAATCTGGCAAGAAATTCCTGGAAGGTAAGATATGGATAAACACAAAATAAAATCCAAAATAATCTATAAATAAAGTATTGCAATAAGCAAGTAAATTTAGCGAGATCACTGGATAACCAATCAATACAAAATTAATTTTCCATATATGCTAAGAACAGCAATTAGAAATTTAAGTTAAATTTTAAAATACATAGTTATTTATATTAAAATCTAAAAATCGTTTCTAACTCATCCCCCCAAAATCATTCACCTAGCAATATAAATTGTATAAAATAATACACAACCCCTAAAATGAAAATCACAAAACATTATTGAAAGATATTGAAGAGGAATTTAAAAATGGAAAGCTATCTCCTATTCCCAGATTTCATGGCTCAATGTTGCCAAGATGTCAGTTTTCCAAACATTGATTATTGCAGTCAATTAAAATCCCAGCAGATTTTTTTTCACTTGCTAACTTATCTTGACTACAAGTGTAATAGTGAGCATTTTCCCCGTGTTCCCAGTCTCAGGGAGAAAGCCTTTTGTTTTACCTCTGAGTATGATGTTTGCTGTAATGTTTTCTTAGAAAAACATTGGGATACAATGCACCATGGGTCTCTCATTTCTGTGCGTCTCAAGAATAGAGATACAGCTGTGTTTAGCTCCGCATGATTTTTCCATGAGTGTTTGTATAGCAAACAGCCTTGGGAGAGAGCACTGTCTCCCTCTGAAGCAAAGGGTGGGCATGTTTACTGCCTATTATAAAAGGCTCAGATTCTCAAAGCTCAGGGCTCCTACCCTGTAAGGTACCTCCAAGTACACAGGTGTCACATGGGTCGCCCTGTGGGAACTGGAATTCAAGGAACTGGCGTTAAAGGTTGGTCCTTGTCTGCTGGTTCTGCGGCGAGTGACAAGCAGTGCTTTGTCTCTGACCCAAGGGTCTCATGTCTTTTACCAGGACCTGTGAAACCGAGGCAGTATAGCTTGCAGTTTGCAACTGAAAAAATGCCTCAGTCGCTTCACAGTTCTGGACATTTGCTCTATCAGGTTAAGGAAGCTCCCTCCTAGTTTTCTGAGAGATTTTGGTAAAAATCATGAACGGGTACTGGCTTCTGCCTAATGCTTGTTCTGAGCGTGTGATATGATCAGGCGGCTTCTCTCCTCTATTCCACTCGCATAGTTAATTACATGGATTCCTTTCAGAATGGTACACAGACCTTGAATTCCTGGGGGAAAGCCTCATGAGAATTTTAAAACTGTATGTGTATTACTTTGATTTAAAACATTAAAAGTAATTCTTAGATAGTAAATACTAAAATCAGGGCAAAAGAGCAATTGGAATTTAACAGTCTTCTCAATAAGTGGAAAGGAATTGGACTCAGGGTGCTGGGACTAAATCCAGCTCGTCTGCTTGGTGCCACGTGCCTCTCCCCGCGTGAGCAGCTGCCGAGATGTTGACGCCTGGGGACGTTCCTTAGACGCTGCCGGGGTACAGGCCTGGGCCATCCTCCAGAAGGTCACTTGCGATGGGCACAAACGCTGGGTGACCACTTCCTTGGGAGGCCAGGGATACACTGAGCAAACACAAGCCGAGCTCCTAGCTTTAGGGACCAAAAAAGGGGAAGACACCAAATTTAGAAGCCTAGGAAAGCCGATGCTGCCTGAGTCAGTGAGGGTTCGGGGACGAGAAGAAACAAACACGCCACAAGCAGGAACCAGGAAGTGGCCTGCGCCCAGATCTCACCTGACCCTGGCAGGGCTATAAAGGCCCCTGGCCCTGGAGGCTCCACATCTGAACACCTCCCCTCTCTCTTCACCTGCTCCTCTGACTTCCTCCACTCTCCACCCACCAGAACCATGAGTCACTGTGGCTGTTCCGGGGGCTGTGGCTCCAGCTGCTGTGTGCCCGTGTGCCGCTGTGTGCCCGCCTACTCCTGCTCCAGCTGTGGCAAGGGGGGCTGTGGCTCCTGTGGGGGCTGCAAGGGGGGCTGTAGCTCCTGCGGAGGCTGCAAGGGGGGCTGTGGCTCCTGCTCCAGCTGTGGCAAGGGGGGCTGTGGCTCCTGTGGGGGCTGCAAGGGAGCTGTAGCTCCTGTGGGGGCTGCAAGGGGGCTGTGGCTCCAGCTGCTGTGTGCCTGTGTGCTGCTGTGTGCCCGCCTGCTCCTGCTCCAGCTGTGGCAAAGGGGGCTGTGGCTCCTGCTCCTGCTCCAGCTGTGGCAAGGGGGGCTGTGGCTCCTGCTCCAGCTGTGGCAAGGGGGACTGTAGCTCCTGCGGGGGCTGCAAGGGGGGCTGTGGCTCCAGCTGCTGTGTGCCCGTGTGCTGCTGTGTGCCCACCTGCTCCTGCTCCAGCTGTGGCAAGGAGGGCTGTGGCTCCTGTGGCTGCTCCCAGTCCAGCTGCTGTGTCCCCGTTTGCTGTCAGTCCAGCTGCTGCAAACCCTGCTGCTCCCAGTCCAGCTGCTGTGTCCCCGTTTGCTGTCAGTCCAGCTGCTGCAAACCCTGCTCCTCCCAGTCCAGCTGCTGTGTCCCCATTTGCTGCCAGTGCAAGATCTGAGAATCTGAAATCAGACCAATGCACGCTCCCTGGCCATGCATCTTGTCACGCCCCATACCCCCAGTGCATAGTTCTTTGTCCATCCCCTGCAGGAGTCATGGAGTCTGAATCTTCAGGACCAGAGTTCCCGCTCCACACTTCGTGATGGAGAAAGGGGTCCCCCTCATGTGCTTTGAGCCATCCGGGGATTCACTACTACACACAACTCAGAGGAATCTTCGTCCTTGGCAGCTGAACTTTACCATCTGTAGGCTCTTCACGTACTGAACCTCAGAAGGCCCACTCCTCATGCTCCGAATGGGGCACAGAGCTGTGCTACCATTTCCCTACTCCCGGTTCCTTCCTGCTCAGTCCTCATTCTCACATAACCTCAGGGCTGGTGCTGATTCCCCGGAACCTGGGGGGCCACATCCATCACACGCCCCTCACCTCTCCCCTGACACCAGCTCATTCTGACTCTCGCTCTAGCAAATTCCACTCTGGACTTTGTGAGGCCTCTAAATAAACAAAGTCTCGACAAGCCATGTCTCACTGTGATTCCTTCCTCACCGCTTTCCTGGCGAGAAACGTTCCTGAACGTCTGGTGCACCGTTCGTGGCAGCAGAGGCCGTGGTGCGCCGGCAGTATTTACTAACGTTTGGCACGTGCTGACCTCTGTGCTCTGCGCCTTGAGTTCTCAGTATTTATCTAGAGGAAAAGATACTGGATGTTCACAGACTTCGTGGACAAGTTTGGTTAACACGAAATTATTCATGAGAGGATGGAATTAGCAACCACCTAAAATTGAATGGCTGCAAATGACGTGACATGATATATTCTTTGGGGGCAGGGGGAAGCAGGCAGTGCAAATGCCTGTGGGATTTTTATAACCCGGGGATGTGGTTTTGTTGTTGTGTCACAGAAAAACGTCAGGATGCAAAACATTACAGAGCATGTGGTCACAACCGTGTTCGTGCAAGAGATGGATGAGGTGAGGATTCTCTAATATTTGTATCTTTAATTTTAAAAATTAATACTTTTTTTAAATATGCAGATTTGGGACACTGTGAGCATTCTTTATCCTGGAATGAGTGGTGATTACACAGGTACAAAAGTTCAGTGAGTCGTAAACTTCTAAGATAGGTAGACTTTCCCAACTCAAATCAAAAGCAAAACACAAAAATGAAAATAAATTATGTGCATGCTCTTAAGTCATACATGAAAAACAGGTTACACTGAGTCCACTGCCTGGTTATACCAGAAACAGAACCAGCAAAGAGAATGTCCCTGTGTCTAGCTTTCCAATTATGCTGCTGCTACAGGAATTATTGGTGATGTCAACGCCAGAGAAGAGCTGCAACACTTTTCCTGAGAAGCCTGAAACCTCTTGTGAGATCCGACCCGGTCTCCCACAGACTCCAAGTTAGGGGAATCTTTGGAGGCACCGTAGGGGCCCAGGCCAAACACCTGGCAGGAAAGGGGAAAAAAAGACTGTACAGCCAACTACCAAAAGGGGATGGGTGTCAAGGTGGGTTCTGCAGGCAGGACTGGTGTGTGCCAGGGGCAAGGGTGATACCCCTCTGGACCCAGGAACAGCGACCCAGCACCACTCACTGGCGACCACCATCAACCAAGGAAGTACGTGGCAGACTTACCTACTGGGGAGAGAAGAGTCTTTCCACAAACGGCCCTGGGACAAGTGGATATCCACATGCCAAAGTATGAAGCTGGGCCCTCACTTCACACCCTATGCAAAAATAGCTAAAAATAGATCCAAGACCTAAATTTAAGAGCTAAAACTATGAAAGTCTTAGAAGAAAATGTAGGTTTAAGTCTTCGTGACCTTGGATTTGGCAAAGCATTCTTAGAAATGACGCCAAAAGCACAAGCAACAAAAGAAAGTGGGTAAACTGGACCTCTGCAAAACCAAAGATGCTTGTGCTTCAACGGATGCCACTGTGAAAGTGGAGCGCGAGCACAGAATGGTGGGAGATGTTTGCAAATCTGACAGTGGGCTTTTATCTGACGTCCACAAACTCACCTGACTGACTATGATTACCAGTGATTTCCTCCCAGGAAATTAGAAATAGAGGGGAACTTCCTCAACTTGATAAAGAAATATCTACAAAAGACCTACAGCTGACATCATACTTCATGATAAGAAATGTCGAGCCTTCCCACTACGATCAGAGACGAGGCAGAGACGTGCCCTCTCACCACTGCTCTCCACATCACACTGGAAGTCCTAGCTAACGCAATAAGACAAGAAAAAGAAATCAAAGGTATACAGATTGGGAGGGAAGAAATAAAATGATCTTTGTTCACGGATGGTGTGACCATCCACGTTAGAAAATCCAAAATCACCAACAACAGCCCAGAACGACCCCCTGGAAGGAGCGAGCAGTCACGTCAGGGCCACAGTGAGCGAGGCTGACGTAATAAGTCAGCCACCTGCCTTCAGACCAGCAAGTGAAACACAATGACGCTTAGCTTTGCGCCCGAAAAAGTGAACCACTTAGATACAAATCTAATGAAATATGTACAAGGTTTATACGAGGAAAACTACAAAACTCTGATGAATGAAACCAGAGAACCAAATCAATGGAGAGAGAGCCCAACCATTTTGGAGAAGAAAGAACAAAGGCAAAGTGGGGAGAATTACAGCTCAGTGGTAGAGTGTGTGCTTAGCACGCACGAGGTCCTGGGTTCAATCCCCAGGACTTCCATTAAATAAATAAATAAACCAAATTCCCTCCCCCCAACAAAAATTTTTAAGTTTGTACTATATACAGCACAGGGAACTATATTCAATACCTTGTAGTAACGTATAAAGAAAAGGAATGTGAAAAAGACTGTATGTGTGTATATGTATGCCTGAACTGTTATGCTATACACCAGAAACTGACACAAAAGTGTAAATCAACTACACTTCAATTTTAAAAAATTTGATAAGCTGTACTTCATTAAAATTAAAAATATCTACTTTGCAAAAAAAAAATGTTAAGAGATGAAAAACAAGCCTGGGGAAAAAGTTAAAAACTTTCCGAAAGACATATCAGATACAGGACTAGTATCAAAAATATACAAAGAATCCTTAAAACTCGACAATACAGAAACAAACAACTCAATTTAAAAGTGGGCAAAGGATCTGGAAGTACACATCACCAAAGAGAATGCTCAGATGGCCCATAAGCACACAAAAAGATGCTTCACATCATATGTCCCTCGAGAACTGCAAATTAAAATGACATGAGATACCACTACACACACCCTGGTGTGAGTGCAAAATGGTGCAGCCACTTTGGAAGATAGTTTGGCAGTTTTCCTACAAAACTAAACATGCTCTTACCATGTGATTCAGTAATCACACTCCTTGGTACCCAAGTGAGTGAAAAACATGTCCACAGAAAAAACTGCACATAGATGTTCATAGCAGTATTATTCACAATCATCAAAAATTGGAAGCCACAAAGATGCTCTTGTGTTGGCAAGTGGCTGAATAGACCGTGGTTCATCCAGACAACAAAATATTATTCCGTGCTTTAAAAAGAAAAAAAAGAGCTATCAAGCCATGAAAAGACATGGAGGAAACGTGAAAGCATGTTACGAAGCGAAAGAAGCCCGTCTGGATAGTTGACAGACTGTGTGATTCCACCCACGTGGCATTCTGGAAAAGGCAAAGTTACGGAGACAATGAAAAGACGAGGGGTGGGGGTGGGGGTGTGAGGAGGTGAGAGGAATAAATGGAGCACAGCGAATGTTTAGGGCGGTGAGACTATTATTCTGTAAGATACATAATGGTGGATAAATGGGATTAAACTTTTTTCAGAGCCCACAGAATGTAAAGCACACAGTGACCTCTGAAGTAAACCATGGACTTTGGCTAAATAGTAATACATCAATATTGGCTCCTCTGTTGTAACACATGTACCACATTAATGCAAAATGTTAGAAATGTGGGAAACCGCGAGGGTGAGGGCAAAGGGCGTATATGGGAGTACTCTGACCTTCTCACTCCATTTTTTTCTGTAAACCTAAAACCGTTTTTAAAAATAATACAGTCTATTGAATGTTTTTAAACCTGTGTGTGTGCCTGCATTTGACTCCCCTTGGCCACTCCTCCTTTTTATTGTTGCCTAACTGTCATTCATCTCCACTAGAAACTCCTTTTTACAGGGAGCTGGTGCCCGGTCTCCCCATTCCTCCAACTCACATCACCTGTGATGTGAGCTCTCCTGCTGCCCCACGGTGTCCACTCCACCTGCTAGGATATCTGTACTGGCTGCACTCTCACAGGATGTAGAAGGCACCGTGGCTCTGGCCCCGTGCACCATCGCACAACACAAGACCCCCATCAGGACATCAGGTGGAACCCACTCTGCTCCCACGTGTTTCAAGGTTCTTCCAGAAGTCAGAGGACTCATTTCACATTTTTCTTGGCTCCCTGGGGACAGGAGTGAGGAAACCTTGACTCTCACTCTGCTCTCTGTCTCTCTGTGGTCCAAGTCCTTCTCCAGACCCACTAAGTCCTGATCCTTCCTCAGGCCGTCTCTAACTCCTCCCCGAGTTCTCATCAGTCCCAGAGTTTCAAGGAGAGCCTGCAACTTCATCCATGACCCCCACCCATGACATCCCTACCTGCTGCCCTTGAAAGACACAGGGGTAGGAATCAAAGTTGGCAGTAGAAGGCAGATGCTGCATAGTCACCTGTCATCTTCCAAGAATCCCCTCCAAATTTTACTTCTGAATATCAATGCAAATTTTCTAAATAGTAATCAATAGACTCCAACAGTGTATCGAGATAAACATACACTATGACCCAGCTGGGTTTTTTCAGGCATGTGAGGATGGTTCAATATCAGGAACTCTAGTCAAACGGACAGATGCAGAGGTGACCATCTGACCGCGTGTCAGGAAGCCCTGAGATAAGATGCTGCAGACCGGTGCGTTAACTTCACCGTGTAATCAAGGGAAAGGCTAACTTCACGAGTAGAAGGGTGCATCTCTGCCAAGGTCATCGTATACTTTGCTAATTTGGAGGATCCCCTGTCAGGACAAGCCTCAGAGGTGGAGACTGAAAGAAACATGGAAGAAAAGGAGGAGACTTCTCATGCAAAAGGGAGGAGGTCCAGCCAAAAAGGCAGTGGGTGGAGGGCTGAGGAGGAAGGCGTCCAGTGGGACCCGGTGCCCAAGAGGATTCAGGAGCAGCAACACCTGGAATGCAAGCTTAAGTTCTCCTTTTCAGTAAAGTAATCCTCTTATCCCCTCTTCCAAGCTTAGAACCATCCCTTCAACGAAGTGGCCTGAATCAGCAATGGCTTGGTGATTAGAGAGGAACCTGGTTTCTTCCACGGAGCAAGGCTGAGGAGGGAGGTGGACCAGCAGCTGGAAGCAGCAGCCTCAGGAGGAGGGGGTGGTCTGAGTGGAGAAGGGGGAAGAGAAGAGCAGGAACCAGAGGCATTCGTCAGGATTTAAGAACTACTCAAGGATGGGGGGGGGTTTCTTCTGAACACCGGGATAGGGACTAGATCCTCCTTATTT